CTATCTATCTATCTATCTATCTATCTATCTATCTATCTATATATATATATATATATATATACATATACATATATATATATGTACATATATACTAAAACAAACTACTGCTTACTACTACTACTACTACTACTACTACTACTACTACTACTACTACTACTACTACTACTACTTGCACTACTATTCCTACTTCGTGGTTTTTCACCTATCGCGGGGGGCTGAGAATAGAAACCCCACTATGAACGAGAGACTACTGTACTAAGACTGAGTCTGGGATGGATTGGGGCCTGCAGTAATGAATGTGTTGCTCCGATTAGTTGCATTAAAAGTCAAAGCTCTTGATTTTTTTTATCTGTATAAGTTCCAATCCCCCACTTATGGTAACGAGGTACAGAGTTTGACGGAAAGAATAAAAGCCCAATACAAGCTTCTGAAATGAGCTTCCTCCGTAGGGTGGCTCAACCTTAGAGATAATGTTTGTCATCCTATATGAGCTTGAAGTTTAGCTGCTCCTCCTGCAATGAAGAGTCATCTGAGGTGTTCTCCCTTTGGAGGTTTCCAGGTATATCCCACTTGGAGAACACCCCTAGGCAGTTCTAGAACATCTCAGGAAAGATTATGTATCCTCTCTGGCCTGGGAATGCATTGGGAGCTCGGCAATGCATAAGCAGCAGAAAATGTGTGGACGGATGGATGAACAGAGTCAAATAAAACTATCCATCCATCCATCCATCCATCCATCCATCCATCCATCCATCCATCCATCCATCCATCCATCCATCTATCCATTATCTTTACCCACTTCTTCCTTTTTGGGTCACAGGGGTCGCCGGTGACCATGTCCAGCAATCACTGTGCGAGGGGCAGGGGACACCCTGGACGGGTCGCAAGTCCATCACAGGGCCACATAGAGACAAACGAGACAAACAACCATTCACTCTCTCACTCACACCTAGGGACAATTTTAGAGTTATCAATCAGCCTAACATGCATGTTTTTTGGTCTGTGGGAGGAAACTGTAGTACCCGAAGAAAACCCACGTATGCACGGAGAGAACATGCAAACTCCACCCAGAAAGGTCCCTGGACCGGGGTTTGAACAAAGGACCTGCTCGCTGAGAGGCAGCAGCTCTACCAGTTGTGCCGCCGTGCTGCCCCAAATCAAACTATCTGAATCAAATGACGAGGATGAAAGAACACGGCAAAACTCACCTGTCCAGATGAAAAGCAGCAATCTCAGCGTTGTGTCTTTCAAAGTCCGAGAAGTAGAAGAAGTCTGGAGGAGTCTCCTGTTCACGGGTCTGTCTGAAAAATAGAATTCAAAATAATAAATATTCTTAAATTTGAACATTTAATTTACCCATCCAAGTTATTTTCTCTTAAATCACATCACTCCTATATAAGAAAAAAGATGTGTATGTTAATTCTGGTTGTGCAGTTTCTTGAACCAAACCACTTGAAGAAATGTTCTCAGCACCCATGAGCTTTTTGTTTCCTACCAGGTGAAACTCCAGCTCTGTGGCGGCTGAGGCATGAGACCCAAACCTGCGTGAACAAGTCTGCTGAAGGGAAGCTGGCTGGGATACTTCTTCTACTTTATCTCAGCAAATACACACTCATTCAGGAGATGTGGATCTCTGCCAAACAAGCCATGGAGCTGAGTCAGAAAAGACTGGAAGCTTCTTTCTGTCTGCCCTCTTCCTCAGATCACTTGTCAGACAACAGGCTTGATTTCTCTTTATCTCACCTGTACGTGCACACACACCTGCACTGTTAACGCTGTGCTTGCACAAACCAGCCTAAGAAATGCTCGTTCCTTTTGCGCTGTCTTGATCTTTCAGCCGCTCCTCCTCCTCATTAGTGTGGATTTGTGATTGAGCGCAGCATGATTTTTACCTGCCTCTTCACTCACTGTCCTTGGAAAAGCAGTGACAACAAAAAAATATCCAGTCCTCCTATTACTTTTCTTGTCAGGGAAGCAGCCGTTTACCCATAAATCAATAGCTGCCATTATGATTCTTTCCATGCCACCCAGAGCCAGGAGGGCTGGAGGATAAAACACACAGGAAGCTGACTAAACAGCAGAGGACACTTCAATTTTACATTTAAAGAGGCTTCTTTAAGAGCCACAGCACGCAGAGACCCACCTTGTCACATATCTTTGTCAACAATCAGGCATTTCCTCTTGAGCTTTTTAAATTTGTATAACATCTCTTCCTAGTTTCAATTTTCCCAGTGCAAAATTTGCACTGCAGATTTTGGTTGCCATGGCCACCGAGATGTGAGATGCAATTTCCTGTTGAGGAAAGCTCCGTTGAATCTTGAATGGAGGCAAAGTCAGGATGTGAAAACCTATTGTAAAACAACAGATATCTCCCCCTCCCATCTCCACACACACATCCATACATGGCGCTATGCAAAATCACAACCATATTTTTCCCCACAGTTACGCCCCCATTCAGCCTTTATCAGCGAGCGTCCTTGATAATAAAAAGGGCCTTTATCTAAAGTAGAGTGTGGTTCGGCTGCAGCAGACCAGCTGCATGTAGTTCAGCAGAATCTCGCTGTGTGTTTGTGTGTGCGACTGCAACGTGATAAAGTTGAACTACTTGCCTACGTGGACTCAGTTTGTGCTGATTAGACAATTTGAATGTTCTTTCATGAGCTCAGATCTGCAAAATGGAGGGGAGATGGGGCAGAATGGAGAAGTCAGGAACAGCAGATCAGCCTTTATAAATGCTACATACACTCTGATTTCCATTTTCTTTGCTTTCAAATAGACACAAAATGCCTGAACAATGCTTTGAGAGGAATGCAGAGTGTGACCCATCTCCTGGTTGTCCTGTTTGATTCAAAGAAATCAAAAATACAGTAGTCCCTCGCTACTTCGCGGTTCGACTTTAGCGGACTCGCTGTATCGCTGTTTTTAAAAGTAAGATTGGACATGACACAACTGGCCGATTGATGGATAAGCCACACGATAGGCAAGCACCTGCTGCACCTGTGTGCAGCCCACAGCTGCAGGGATCCCCGCTTTACAGTGGAGAGGTGGGCGTGGCCAAGAGCGCTGGCAGGTGGTAGAGAGCAGCCGGTGGGGCAGAGAGAGCAGAGATCATGACATCCTGTGCTTTTTTAAAGCGTTAGAGTTTAGAAACATTGATTAGAATTTTTCATGGGTGTGGGGAGGGTTTAAAACATTATATATATATATATATATATATATATATATATATATATAT